AGGACCCAGCACTTTGCCTTGTTGAACCTCAACATCAGTCACCTCATCACTCAACACACCTCATGCTAACTGAGGGGAACAAGCAGGGCACCCACCTCCTCAGAGCCAAAGGGCTTTGGCTTCAGGGCAGGCACATGCACCTCCTCGTAGCCCTTGCGCTGCCGGCGGAAGGAGCCGTCGGGGAGCTGGCACCGCTTGTTGGCCATGAAGTGACTCCCTTGGGCAAACACCAGATCCTCCAGGTCCAGGACCTGCCGTGGAGCCAGTGCCTGGAAAAGGACAAGGATTAGAGAAGAGCCCATCCTGCCACCCTCACCCTGGGACCAAGGGTAAAGCAACTGCATCCAATGGGCAGGTGCCTCTTTAGCACATCAGGGGCTTGTTCTTGGTCCCTCCCTGCCCATATCGCTTCAAGTGCTCTTCTGGCACTTCCTGAGGATGATTCTTGGGGACTTCCAAGGGTTTTACCTCTCCTCCTTGGTCCAGATCCATGCTCTCCAGGTCAGTGTCCATCCGGGACTGACGGACACGCTCCCGGCGAGAGCGTTCTTCCTGCAGAAGCAGAGGAGAAGTCAGGCCTGGGGAGGAGCAGCCGAGCCTCCTCCATGGCCTCACAACCACAGTGTCACTGCTCCTTTCAAGCACAGGCATTCCCCCAAACAAAACTCATCAGTTTTGGCACTAGAAACCAGTGTCCCCAAGGCCAGGCCATAAACTTGCCCTTCCAGGAGAACTGATGAAGGGAAGAGCAGCAGATGAGGTTGCTCCTCTGGGCACCCTGTGCCAGCACCTCAGCACCCTCCCAGGGAAGAGCTTCTGCATCGGAGCTCATCTCAGTCTCCCCTCTGGCACGTTCAAGCCATTCCCCTTGTCCTGTCCCTCCATCCCTTGTCCAAAGCCCCTCTCCAGGTTTCCTGGAGCCCCTTTAGGCACTGGAGCTGCTCTAAGGTGTCCCCTTCAGGAGCCTTCTCTTCTCCAGCTGCCCCAGCCCAGCTCTCTCAGCCTGGCTCCAGAGCAGAGCTGCTCCAGCCCTTGCAGCAGCTCCTTGGCCTCCTCTGGACTTGCTCCAACAGGTCCACATCCCTTTGGTGTTGTTCTCCAGAGCTGGACATCCTGGGTCCCTTTGAGCTTCTCTTAACCCAACACCCCCAAGTCCTTCTCCTCAAAGCTGCCCCATCCAGTGTTTGTGCTGGGGCAGGACCTCACACTTTCGTTATGGGGAACCCCACCTCAAGGAGGCCCAGGGTGAGGCAGTGCTGGTACAACACAGTCACCACCAGCACCAACACCTGAAACCTGCAGCTATTGGCATTTTCCTGGGAAAGCAGACATCTGAGTGACCCAAACCCAACAAGTGTCACATTCATCAGCCCCTCAGCTGAGCCTCAGCACCACCCAAGCACCGGTTCCTACGGGGCTGAGGTTCCAGCTGAGTCAGGAGCTCCTCACTCACACACAGCAAACAAACCCCAACCCAGCGACGGCATCGAGACTCCACAATCCCTCCTCTCGTCCTTCCCGAGGCTCTCTCTGGCCTTACCCGGATGAGATCCTCCTTCTCTGTCTCGTGGAGCTGATACAAGAACTTGGACAGCTCAGGATCTGCTTCCATCTTCCCCATTATCCTTTCTTTCTCTGCTTCGCTCTGGGCGCTGGCCAGCAAAGTGCAGTAGAGGACTGAAAGAGAGAAATAAAGGGATGGGAAAGGTTGGTGGGGTTAATGGTTGAACCAAAAGGAGGAATCAAAGAACAAGGCCCAAACTTCATAAAGCACCACTGAGGGCAGTTTAAAAGCCTCAGGTTGTGCTGGAATCACCTCGGAACAGCAGGAGAGCAACAAGGTTAAAGCCACTCACTCATCATCCGGTGCTGCCGCAGGACCTTGATGAAGTCGAAGGTGTTGAAGCCCAGGAGCAGCACAAGCTGGTTCTCACATTCCCGGTCATCACTCGCAGTCTGGGAGGAGGAGAAAGGAGGAACAACCATGAGCTCTGTGCCCCCCCACAACCAGAGCCCTGCTTCCCAAGGAACTGGGCTCGGGGAGCTCAACAGCAGCGACACACACCAGGAGGTGCCCAATCCTGCAGGGAACATTCCCATCCTCTCCAGCTCCCCTTTTTCCCTGCTCACATGAGCATCAGCACCACAATTAGCAGGGAAATGGATCTAAGCTATGGTGATCTCCCAGCAAACACTGACAAAACCCCAACCCCTTCCCCCTGGAAGGAGATTTCTGGGAATGAAGACCATTCCCAACCCAGCCCAGCACCCATCTATCTCTGTGCAAACAGAGCACATGCGCAATTGCATTTCCTTTAAGAGAACACAGGCAACAACTTGTGGAAGCCAATTCCTGCTTCCAGGCAGAGCAGTATTCCAAGAGCACCACAAGCATGCGGATCAGGGGGTCACTGACCTTCAGGATCTCCAGGACTTCATCTGCCTTCTTCTGGGAAACGATGGCATCGTCATAGAAGCGGCTCAGCTGCCGCTGGAGCCAGAAGGCATCAATGTCTCGTGGGTGCAGATCCTTTTTCTTGGAGCTCATCAGCTCCCCCGATGCCACCAGCTTAAGGAAATGCCACCAAAATGTTATTTTCCAGCAAAAGGGAAGCAGGAGCATGGACCCTGTGCTGTGGGGGAGCATTTGGGGCTGTTCCCTGTCAGGGCTGAGGAGAAGAGAGCCAGTAGATGCAACTGTGCAGCTACCAGAGCCATGAATCCTGGAATGGTTTGTGTTGGAAAGAATAAAGCTCATTGAGCTCCAACCCCTGCCCCGGGCAGGGACACCTTCCACTAGAGCAAGTTGCTCCAAGCCCCTGTGTCCTTGAACACTGCCAGGGATGGGGCAGCCACAGCTTCTCAGCACCTCAGCACCCTCACAGGGCAGAGTTCGACCCTGCTCAGACACCCTCAAGCCATGTTTCCCATGTTCCCCAGGACTCACGTTGGCTGACAGGGTGCAGCGCACGACGGCCTCGTCCCCCTCCATGTCATCGTCGGACGCCTCGTCCCGCACTTCACCGTAAATGTCCTCATCACCTTCCTGTTGGAAGGAGAGTTCCAGGAAGTGGCTTTTACAAAGCTCAGAGCATCTTTTCCTTGCTAAAAATGAAGAATTTGGCAACTAATTCCCAAGGGGAAGCTGCCTCCTGCTTTCCCCAGGAGCAAAGGCTGCTGTTCCAGTAAAGGATCACGGGAGATGAGTTCTCCTCTCCAGAGAGCTTTGCCAGCAACTCCTCCAACCACCTCCTATTTGTCTCTCATCATTCTCTCAGCCTCTTCCAAGAAACAATCCCAGGAGCGTTCCTAGGGAACGCTTCCAGCTCCTCCTTCCCCCTCAGCTGTCACGTTTCCCCACCAGATCTAAAGATCACCATCTGGTTCCCACCATCCTGACTCACGACAGGATTAGAGTGATCATCAACAGACCCTCCCCGAGGAAGCTAAAATAATCCAGCTTCTCCTTCCTGGCACAGACATCCCAGCGTGAGCCAATGCCCAATTCCCAACGGGATTGAGTCTCCACAGTCCCTGTGGAGCAGCTCAAAGAGACAAGGCAGAGACCCCGCCTCCAGCCCAGCCCCTCATCTCCTACCTCCTCATCAGACTCAAACTGCACGTTCACGCCGTAGGTCTCATCAATGTTGTCATCTGCAAGGAAAGAGGAGTTCATCCACCAGGGAATCTGGGAACTATGGGCACGGGTTATGGATCCACGTGCCCATCCACGCCTCAGTGCATCGAAAAGCGGAAAAGAACATGGGGATGTGGCTTGAAAACTGCCCCAATTCTGGCTTCCCTGTGTGCAAACATGACCCCAGAGCAGCAGCAACCCCGCTTCCCATCACCCCATTCCCAAAGCCACCCCATACCCATGTTCTGGATTTCCTTGTCTCCCCCATAGTCCGTGATCTTCTTGCCCAGGTTGACCAGGACGTGGTAGCGGGTGTCATCGGTCTGGCCCAGCAGCAGGTCGACCTCTTTCCTCCTCTCCTTGTCACGCAGCTTCTCATTCTTCAGCACCGCCAGCACCTCGTCGGCGGCTCCGCACAGGATGTCCCGTGGCTGCAAAGGATCCATGTGCATAAAACACTTGGGAAGTGCCCAATGCCAGCCCCATGGAGCTCAACAAGGCCAAGACAAGGTCCTGCTTCTGGGTCGGGGCAATCCCAGGCACAGCTACAGGTTGGGCAGAGAAGTGACTCAGAGCAGCCTGAGGAGAAGGACTTTTGGGGGTGTTGGGTGAGGAGAAGCTCCCCATGACCCGGCTTCAGTGTGTGCTTGAGCCCAGAATCCCCCCGTGTGCTGGATGTACCCCCAGAGCGTGAGCAGCAGCTCAGGGAGGGGATCCTGACCCTCTGCTGTGCTCTGGGGAGACTCCCCCTGCAGCACTGTGTGCAGGGCTGGTGTCCCCAACATCAGGACATGGAGCTGCTGGAGCGAGTCCAGAGGAGGGCACGAGGATGCC